CTCGTGAAAAGAGAATCCCAATCACAATTACATGTGAAAAGCCGCCCCCATACTCTCTCTCTCTCTCTCTCTCAGTTCTCATACGAGCTTTATCTTCTTCTTGTTGCTCCACTGGTACAAGTTAAAGAAGGGTGTATTGAGTAATACAGTTGAAGATCAATAGGTTATCGAGACCCGATTATCTTCAACAGAAAATATATTCACGATAAGCCTGACCCGCTGGACCGCCGATCCGACGAGCCAGGCCCGTCGTGAAGTCGCCGCAAGCCCGCTGGAGCTTCACCGCAGACCACCGCGATGATCCGACGCGAGACGGCCAACTCGCGACCCGATCGACCAAGGAGGACACGACTCGATCCGGCACCCGCAACCCGACCGGAGATCCAACCCACACGAGCTGACCCGATTCACGCGAGCCCAATTCATCCTGTTCGTGTGATCTGATTTGTTCGTGTGCTGTGTGCGGCCATCCGGAAGACCAACTAAATCGCCATAAATTTTAAGCCGTAAGTTCTCTACGTCAAACCTTTAGATCCACTGCGCATAGGTTTACGTTTGATATTGAATTCGTGATTTGTACATAACGAGATCCTCACAGATCCCAACATAATCAAATCTATCCGGTCAATCCCCGGGCGAATATTTATTACAAACATTCATCCATCAATTTCTAGACATGTCTGAGGCTTTAAAAACAAATTTAAAACCATACATCACATTCAACAACATTCATCAAGCACATAGTCGACAATAATAGTGGATTGACTAATTACTGCAAAACTGAGTTATGCGAATATAATCCAATATATATGGTTGCGTTTGAACACATCTTGTCAAATAAAACCGTAAAAATTCTAACTTTGTACAAAACGAATTCACCATCTGTGAGGATCTCGTTATGTACAAATCATGAATTCAATAGCAAACGTAAATCTATGCGCAGCGGATCTAAAGGTTTGACGTAGAAAACTTACGGCTTAAAATTTTCTAAATCTGATGGATGCGGGATGACCGGGAACAGCACACGAACACGTCGGGATCACGAACGGAATGTCTCAGGCTCGCAATCGAGTCGTGTGTATCGTCGGGTGACGGTCCTATCACGGCGGTTCAATCGCGTCAGCTTTAGATCGGCGACCGACGGCGATCCGTCGGGTCCGGCTGCTTCACGGCGTCGGACGGCGAGTCGGGTCGGCGGTCCTCGACTTCGGGTCGTGGATCCTTGACTGTTGTAGAAGATTATTAGATCTCAATTATCTATGGATATTCTACTGTATCACTCAAGCACCTCTTCAACTTGTACTAGTGGAGCAATAAGATGAAGGCAAAGCTCGAATGAGAACTGAGAGAGAGAAGAGGGGGCAGACAATCGTGTCTCTTAGAATGAGATGGATCTCTTCTCATGAGCTTAATGATGTATATATAGAGCTATAGTAGGGACTCTTAGTAGATTAGGAATAGGGTTCTTTAATTAATTAGACTAACTCTAGGCAAAACCCGCTCCTCTAACTAATTAAATAATATTATGGGCCATCAACATAATATTATTGCACTCCCTTTTCCTAGCCCAAATTACATTTGAGACTCCAATTATAATTACTTCATTTACCTCCCCACGTTTAAGATATAATGTCCATTAATTAATTTGATTACTAACAATCAAGAATTAATTAATTTATTATTATTTCACTGAAGCTATAGCTCGTTCATCACATTATTATTATGCCAGAACTTAATCCACCTGCAGGGTTTAACATAACAATCCTTCAGAAACTCACTCCGGGGACATCATCAAAGTAACGCACATGGTGACCGTAAATATCCTAACAGCACATCATACATACAACAGTATTACCCAAGACAGTAGGAATATTAATCCAGCGAACTGAACTTCACCCAAGTGAATCAAAGTAATATTTACTGCATATATATGCCTGTTTAATATCTTACTGGTTAAGAGAACGCAGTAATTAACCGAGGGCTAGTCCGTTTAAGACGATCAATATAAAACGAACTTCTCTTCTCTGGGATCTTGTTCAATACATAAATGTACTAGTGCAACTAGTTAGTCAAGACCAACTGTACCGTTGACACTAAAACCGTTCGGATGGGGTGTTCATTTCCATCTAGGTTGTGAACCACAATTCTTGTTTCGCAAGTAACTGATAGAATGATCTTCTGTTCGCCCGATGACGACCCATTCTATCTAAGTGCAAAACAATAGAACATAGAACTTGTCTAATCTAACATGATTCTCATTCATAAAGGGCAAAAGTCTAATAACATCCAAACTCAACCTTTCAGTATATAACACTATCACTTAGTACTTACGGAACTTAATCCAAGTCGAGATTTTTGGTTTGCCCAGTCGATGACGCATACTTTTGAGTTGTAACCACCAAGCGGACGCTCGTCCGCGAAGTCTTGCTGCTACGAGCGCGACAGGTTTAAACTTGAGTACAGATTCAATGACGGCCCACCAATGTAGAAAATCCGCCGCATCAAGCCCACCCGAAAACTCAGGAATGTCGACCCGAAACCCTTGCAACCATTGCGATGAGCCGCCCCCATCATGTGCGTGACCAAAAGCCTACTGCTGCTGCTCCCCGCCGGCGAGCTCTCGGCCCTCGCAGACATCCCAAGCAGGCCGCTGCTGCTCGCCCGCATCCAATCCCAGCCCATCGCGATGCTGCAGCCTATCCTCCTACGCGTCGCCCCATCCTGCGCGATGAAGCCCCCCTGTCGCGACCTTATTCCGCCGACGAAGCCACGTCTGTCGCGCCTGGGATCCCGATCCTTCTGTAAGAATGGATCATCGTGGAGCCCTGGTCGTCGTGCTGGAAAACCCTAGGATGCTGCAACTGATCGCCGTTCGCCATGAAGTGTTCCGCACGTCGCTCGCCACGGCCATCATGTGTGTCCCAGCCTTCGTCACCGGCTCGCTGACTGACTATCGCCTAACGGGTTGAACATAGACATGGTCTACTCCTCGTCGTCCAAACTGTGCTGTGAACGTGGCGAGCGCGGTCGGGGCACCCCGATCGGCCCTCTTCCGCCACGACCACCGCGTAACCCGCCGCGAGCGCCCCGGCCGGTGACGTCGCGGTCCGTCTCTTCCCTGTGCATCATGGTGCGAATCGCCAGTTTGATTTCCTCGATTCTCGTAGAAAGTCCCTCAACCCCGGGGTCTACTTGTTCGATTTGGGCGCCGAGGCCCTCGGTACGCCGATCCAAATCGTCAAGACGAGCATCACGTCATTTGTTGTCGTTCCTTCGTGGCGGCATCTTGAATTGTCCCGGTCTGGTGATACCAACTGATGTAGAACGTGAATGACGAAAGGGAATAAAAGAGAACTCTCACACGAGAACTCACGAAAGAACATATAACTTTTCTTATTTCACCAAAACTGATCGTTCCATCCAATTTCTACTGCATAAATAGACTCCTAACTTGCTAGCCACGTTTTATTCCTAAAAGATAGATATTATACTAACAATAGAAGAGATAAATAAGTAGTAATAGAAATAATAATTATGCGAATAAATAACTATTTTCGTGCCGGAATTCAATTGTATTTCTCCAAGAAAGCTATCGCGAGCTCGTCTTCATCATATTGGAACAACTTAAAAAATGATTTTTGTGATTGTTTTTCTACGTTATGTAGAGTTGGTCGGATAACTTGGTATCCGATCTTCGGTCTCATTTTTATTTAGTTATTGCTCGATCGGGTGGTACGTATGACGTTTGGGCCCTTATGAATATTTTTCATGTTTTGAGGCGCGTGCGATAATTTTGCAACGATTTCAGTTTGTTCTTTATGGTCGGCTCTGCTGGGTCTTTTCAATTTTATTGCGTTTCGGCATTTTTAGTTTAAGGGCATCTCGTTCCGGACCAATTCATAAAAATGGAATAGATTTGAATTCCGGTTCAGTCCGGTCCACCCACCCCAACGTTAAACCCCAGGATCGACGGACATATTCTCGCCACATCGTCCAGTCCAAACTTGATGCAAGCTTGACGGCCGTGATCAATTAAACAACAGTGCGGCGCAGGGGATAGAAACTCGAGATCAATGACAATACGACGCAGAACTGCTTCAGTGGATGAGAAAATTTCAAACTGCAATTGCCAAATAATAAGAGCAAAGCTGTTCTGTTGTTGCAAAGATAAAGATTGAGTGAATAAAGATGCCATCTTTGGCACTGCCAATTATCAACGGCGGCGTCTTGTTAGCAGGACACAAATACGATTCCCATTCTTTTGCTGGTTACAAGTAAGTTCATTAACATGAAAAACCCAATTTTCTTACAATTTTACTCCTTTAATTGCTGTTTGCTTGCATCTGTTCAAGAATAAACTCCTGTTGTGCTTACCTTTGCTATTTGATAATTGAGTTTAAGATGATGGGGCCGTGTCCGGATGTTTTATTCAGGATATTGGCTAAAATTGTATTCCAAATTTTCAGTTTTACTTAACTATTTTTTTTTTCTTCTGAATATTTAGTTGTTGTTCCGCTTTGGACAGTATATTTGTGAGGAAATTTCTTGCTAGAAATGCAATGATTTATTCATCAGTGAATAACCTAATTTCTGGGTTTGAATTGAATGTAACAATTTTGATGTAGATAACCAAGGATTACAATCTTGAAATTTGTATTTATAATACAGAAAACCTCTTGATGATTGTCAACAATGGCTTTTATTACCGAAATTTAAAAATTAATTGTTCCTTGGACCTTGACAATACAGGTTCAATGGTGAATTTGTTAAGTTTTATGTGTTTTTTTGAGTAGTGTTTGTTGATCATTTGTCTTGGGATGGGGGCAACATGTATTTTGCAGGTTGTTTTCTCAAGGAAAAAGGAGTCATACAATCCGTGTCCTTGCAAATCCAAATGTATGTACCCGCTCAAAGGCTTTCCTTGCATGTATAATGACAATATGGTTTTGAAAAATGCTCAAAGATTTCCTTTTAGGTATGTGATTTGTGATGTAATCAGTATGCCTGTATGCCCAGTTAGAGTTACTGAATACTCAAGTAAAGCAGCTTTTTTTTTTTCACAAACTGAGGTCTTTCAATTTCGAAATAGATACAAAATCAGGTAAAGATACTTTTCATGATCGTCAAACTTTCTTTGTGTGCTGATGATGTTCCATGTGATTTGAGCTGCAGATATGCCAGCTGTAAATACTAAATCAAGCACGCTAATTGATTGTCAGTCCACAGTTTTACTGGTAACTAGAAGTATATGTGCATCAAGTTCATATAATCATATCAATTTAGTTCCTCGGATTGAATAACAAAACCGTTCCAGGATATGAATCAATGTATATGCAGTTACCAAAACTATTTTGTGTCTGAAACTTAAATATTTGAATGAACCACTCTCTCAAACCTTTTCTATGTCTGGAAGGAAATCATATTTTACTGAAACAGAGCTTCTCTTGAGAAATTTCAAGGAATTATTAATCAAATAAAAGAAAGTCCATCCTTTCTATACATCTGATATCGAGGGCCTATCTCGCATTGGGAGCTTTGTGCGTAAATTTATTTTCTTTATGTTGCTATCAATCTCCTTTGTCATTTTTTCTTCTTAATTATCTGGCTTTTCTTTTACTTTATTCTATTTTACAAGAGTTCCAAATTTAAGCTACATTGTTGTTCTGTGTTCCATTGTTTGATTTTGCAGTTAGTTATTGGGGATTGAAAACCTACCAAATAAGGGTTCATTGATTGACAGTTTTGATACCAAGTAAACTTTGATTTGATGTTCCGTATATTGTTTCAGTGTTATAAAAAATGATATTTAAGGCATGGGACTTTAGGTATTTGAAGATTAAGTAGCTCATATCACTCAAAAGTTAATTATATTTGAAATGCTCTTTTATCAAGAAAATCAGCACCTCCGCATGAAAGATCCCCGAACAAAAACTCATTTAACTTTTTCCCCCCTTTTTGCTATTTTCTACAGGCGTCTTCTTCAGATAAAGAAAGATCCAAGAAAGAGGTTGTTATGGTTGATCCCGTTGAGGCCAAGAGATTAGCTGCAAAACAAATGGAACAGATTAAAGCAAAAGAAAGATTCAAGGCATGTAAAATGTATAGATAAAGGATACAAATTTATATTTAGTCATAACTGTAAGAACTATTTTTGGTTTATTCCTCATAACCTGGAGATCTATATATTTTTTTTAACAGAAAAGACGTCAGGTTGAAGCAATTAACGGCGCATGGGCCATGGTTGGTCTCACTGCTGGATTAGTCATTGAAGGTCACACAGGAAATACCATCTTATCTCAGGTATAAGCGATTCCCATTTTTTTTCCTCTAAGAAAGATCGTGTCTATTTTGAGAAAAGCTCAAGTAGTTTTAAGTAGTTTATCTATGTTCTTTTTTTTGTTGGCTGGCTATTGGGCTGCTTTCATTGGTTTGTTTGGGTGATACACAACATTGGATTTCCTATACTCTCTCTTTTTACTTTCATTTTAATCCTCGTCTGTGGAATGTTCGGAATATCCAGATGTGATTTTACTGTAGCCTACACGTTTCTGGAAACAAGTTTCTAGTCTATATTTGAAATTATTCCTAGCATTGACGGCGAATGATTTGATACGTATAAGCCATAATAACTAGTTCTGCCGAAGAAAACTTCTGCTTCTTCAAACATTTTTCTTATAGTTATCGGGTGTCAGGCGACTTCCCTTTGTTTTTGTTCCTTGTTATATTTTTCCATTGAAATGCCCATTTGTATATATGATATCCAGCTTAATCCCCTCACTGATAATTTGTACTGTAAAAATTCTTCAGAGATAACTACAAATGTATCAAATAACTGAATCTTTCTTGGTATAGGAACACAATGTATACTCATCTGCTGAATCTCCAGACATTGATTGTAATATGTTTAACATTGATGTTAAAAAGAAAAGGAAATAAAGAAAGAAAGACAACCCCATCTATGTATAGTTTGGCGGCAGTTTGATACAAAAGCTAAAAAACAGATTAAGTAGACAAAATTGACGTAAATATCAAACTACAAAGCAGATGGTGACATTGTGGAGAAATAGAAAAAAACAAGTATATGTCACTGCGCGTTGCGTTGCTTGTTGTTAAAAATGACGTTGATGAGAATATTATTTTTTTATATTTTAAAATATTTTCCCAAATATAATATTAGTAGTTGATGAGAGTATTATTTTTTTATATTTTAAAATATTTTCCCAAATATAATATTAGTAGTGGATGAATTGTATTCATTATCACTATTATCATCATAAATAATAATTATCAAATAACAGGATCTGTAACTCCAGAAACAACAACATAAAATTAATTGAGACTATAAAATACAATTTCCTTTTTACATAAAATTTTAAATTAAATAAATTTAACTTCAAAACGTATCAGTGATATTTGACGAAAAAATGTATTACACTTCTTGAAACGTTTTACAAATGTCTCGATAATAACATAATTTTCAGCATTTTTGAATAACTAATGACATTATTTTTAATCTATAGATAATATGGTATAGAATAATTCAAATAAATGTTCAAATTTGAGCCAATTAAAATTAAAAAAATATATTAAATACTTAAGAAAAAAATAATGATTCAATTTCAATCCACATATTTTTTACTTTTTCTATTTGGCAAAATAAATCTAATAATTTGTTTCTTTGCAAAATAAATCTGATGGTGATCAGAATGACGTGTAAGATATATAACTTTTTGTAAAGTTACAAATTGGCACATTAATCGTTAATGTCATATCAATAGTAAATTAATTATTTTTTGCATATAACTTATGTGAAATGTAATCTAATATTATTTTTTTAAATGTGCATAAATATGAAAAATTCATTCAAATTGTATTATATAAATTATAAAATAAAATTTATTTTGATAAAAGGAATATGTATTATATATGATAAGAAAAAAATTAGATGATGCATTAAATTTTGTCTATTGCAACGCTTTAGTCGTAGTATATTCTTGTTATTCTCTTAAAAAAAAACATGTGTTATAATAAAAAAAAATTAACAATAATTAGCAAATTATGCTATATATATTCATAAAAATTTATAGTTGCATAATTATGGATCAATAAAGAAAATAAATATATGTACAATCACTTTAGTCACAAACTTTTAGATTACCTCAAATTTAGGCCTAATGAAACAAATAATATAAACTAAAAATAAAATAAGTTAAACAAATTATGTATTTGTGCTCAAACTATTCAATTAATTAGGACCAAAATAAATATAACAGGCCTCACATATAACAAAAATTCCACTAAATAATTGGATGATAAATATATATTTCGTATTCAATATTCACAATCAAAACAATATTATCGCTCTTTTTCTTTCTTATGGCATGATTGGTATAATGTAATGAAATTTGGTAGGAATGTAATGAGTTGAAGAATGAAATGATTATGGGAAAAGAATGAAACAAGTTTTGTCATCGATGCGTTTGGTATGCAGAAGAAATAAGACCAGAATGAAATGACATTGTCATCCTATATTATTATTTATCGCTATTTTATAGATAAAAATTAATATTTATATCGAGTACGACCTAGGGAGCAGTTTGATTGAATCAAGTGAACCAGCAGTGGTGACCTCACGGATACAGGAGCTAACCGACAGGTCGAGCTAGGGCCTAAGGCTGACCTGGTAGAAACTCGACCCTGAAGGTATAAAGGTCAATGGCTCGACCAGAGAGACAGAGCATATGCGCTGAAGGTCGAAGCAGTCTAGCTCAAAGCAAGTTAAGCCGATCGCACGATTAGACCTTTTAATGAGGAAAGCTAATGTAACACGCCACATAATAAACGAGATTGAATATAATTATGATAAAACCATGTGGACATACATAATTGGGCAGTTCGGACATTCGGTACGAACGTGTAGTCCGGGCACTAGGGCAGCTCATCTGGACAACCTTAGGCAACAAGGTAACACTCATGTATATAGGGGTGAGGTATAACTATTCACACTCTACACACTAATATATATTACAAACTATACACTTTCTGTTCATCATCTTCTTCATAAACATACTGACTGATCTTCGGAGTCTCTACGTCGGAACCACTCTCGGCGTTGTTTTGCAGGTCTATTGAACTGGTGAAGTGTGGATCCATGGTTGCAGGAGCCAGTTGAGATTGTTTTACACACAGATCACTACTCACTCTTTATTTTCTTTGGCTTAATTTTTATTATTTAATAGTTTGTGAGAGTTTGATACTCATTGGATCTAGTCTTTTTGTTCGAACTCTCGATATGTTTTGCTTCATTCACTAGACATGGTTGGCCCGTGTTTTAATTGTATGAAAACCTTGTGGTTTATTTATTCTTGTGGAAATTTTGGCTTGTTATCTTAATATACAAGTGATTATTAGTTATAACTTACATTTTAATTATTCGTGTTCATTATTTCGTAAGAGTTTTTAGCTGCTTTATTTTTTATTTGTTATTTTTTTAACGTTGCGAACGCAGTACGATTTATCATGACACATCATATCTTTTTGGTTGAAAAAATCATTCATTAGTACCTAAAATTATAAGAGTTCTTTATTTTTATTTTTTTAAATGCAACCGCGTCGTGTATTGAGTATAGTGCCCTCGCACGTCACGAAAGAGTGGCGGGGAAATGAAAATTTCGATCAGACACAGAGTCAACCTTTGTTATTGATCACGTGTGTATCACAATAGCTAGCTTGACTAAACTAAAAANCACCATAAGTCGTTAGAAGAAGATTCGTCAACCCATATGCATGACTCACCGTCTCACCCCGCCTCAAGTTTTCCTTTTTTCCACTTAAAAGTCCCCATATTTGCAATAAAAATCAGCAATAACAACTCCACACCCTCAATCACATCAATTGATGATGACACTAAGACGTGAGTAGGCAACCAATTCCCATTATGCCCCTCTTCTTGGCTCTCTCCCGACTCCACCACATGACAAACAACAGCTCCACCCTGCCCGTTCTGCCGCCCGATTCTCTCAAACCCCGGCCCCAAAACCTTCCCCACCCACTCTTCCAAACTCATCACCCCATGCAACAACCCTCCCAAGATCCTCTCCAACACATCGTCTCCCACTTGAAGCCACAAATCCTCAACTATCTCCGAGAACGTAACCATCATCGTCTTCTTATCTCCCTCACACCAAATCCCCAGGTTTGAACACCACTAACCCGTCCATCCAGCCCGTCAGCTCCTGAGGCACAGACACAACGAACCGCTTCAAAACCTCGTCCTCCTCCTCGTGCTCTATGGTGACGTCATCACTCGACATGTCAGCAGCAGGCAACGCGAGATTTAGGTCCAACGAGAGTGTCCCCCTCCGCGCTCGTTTCGAGCTGCTCACTCTTAACCCTAACTGCCACCTTGTCGAAACCGAAGGAAACCTGCGCTCGTCGTCGCCTGTCGACCAATCCCCCGAGAGGACGAAAACGACATTTCCTAGAGCCACCTCGCAGCCGTGCGAGTCCGCGATTCTCCCGATCTCGGCCGCACGTTTCAAACTCTCGCACGCCAGTGGGCACCACTGCTCGGCACCCTCGACCACGATCACAGAGTCGGAAGGATTCCTCCGGATGGCCTCCACCACGCGGTCGACCACGGTCTTCCCGCGCAAGTCCGCCACGTGGCGTAACGTGACCAAATTGCCCCTGATGTGCTCTGCCACCACGGAGGCCATCTTCCTTTTTGCAGCAACATCGGGCCCCACGAAAAGCAGCCACGTGTCGCCCTGACGGCGAGCGACTGTCAAGGCAACTGCGGTGGCAGCCTCTGGCTGCCACCATGCTTGCTCCATCAGCCGCTTGAGAAGTCTTTTGTACGTATCGATGTCCAAAGTGAGTTTCTCGTCAGGTCCGAGGACGAGATCGGTACGCACGGGACTTGGTGACTGGCTGTAAGATGGTTGACTATTCGGGCCGCCCGTCTGGTGGAAGTTTGGATGAAGGTGCCGACATGCGTCTCGCCATTTCCTATGCAATTCTTCGATTTTGTGGTTGAGAATGAGCCCTTGTGTCATCTGTAGAAAAAAACAATTACGATAATCAAGTTTTTATTTATTATTTAATTTAAAAAAAAAGGGTAAGTTAAATTTAAAGAGGAATATATATAGCATATATACGTTTGATTTGTCGCAAGTTCTAGTATCCGTCGTGTTGAATTTGGCATTTTGCAACCATTGTGGCAGTGACGGTAGGGTGGTTTCAGACGAGGACTTCTCACTCCATTCAATTTTTGCGAGCTCCTTCTCATAATTCTCTGAGCATTGACAGCATAAGAAGATGCTTTGAGAAGGATCCATTTTCTCAAATGCGTGCTTTGTTAAAGCCGGCAGTTGAATTTGCTGGAAGGACATTGCTGGATTCAACGGCTGCACTGGACTGCCCGATGCTCTCTGTGTCTCGAGCCTAAAGACAATAGTGTAAACAAGAAACATAATCAAGCAGACATGTAAATGTAAAGGACTTGATCAAAACACAAACTGCGTTTTAGTGGACAACAGTCAGATCTATAAAACAGAGCTTGCCCTTGGATGATACAATGTAAGAGGACCATGAACACTAATAAAAGAGAAGAACATGAAAAAAAATCCAAGTAGAAGACAATCTCTCTTGTGCACATTCAAAGCTAGCATTTTTATTTCTCTGATAAAAAATAACAATAAATATCAAGATATACTAAATATTATGTTTGAAGAAGATTTAGTATTAGAAAGACTCAATATTACACCTAACAAAATCAATTCATACCACATGGAAAAATCGAGAGAAATATAAATGTACCTCGTAACCATTCCCGGAAAACGTGATCGTGAAGCCACAGGCACAGCCTGCAAATCCAACTCATTCTCCATGCTCGAAAAATAAACCTGACATCTCAAGTAGGTCTCGCAATTTGCCGTCCCAATCAACCAAACCTTATTATTCTCCCCGTTAAATCTTGCCAATAACCGAGCCATCTCGGCCACCACCGTCCTCCCGTGCTCCGTGATCCCCTGCTGCTGGTGTTGGTGGTCCGCTAGCCACCTCAAATTGCCCAAATCAAGAATCACACCTCCAATCCCTATCAAATTCCCAATCACATCGCATAATTTTCCGATTCTTGATGGCACAACACAGTCTTTCTCCATAATCGATATAACCCGAGCATTATTCAAAGCCCCATTTTGAGCCAAAATTTCTTTACTCTCTATTTTCTTCAAGAATTCCCTCACTACTGCCTCGGGCTCCGAATCGCCGACAAGAATCGGGTTCCTTCTCTTTGTCCTCGACATAATCTCCAGCAATCTATTTACTTCACGGGACCCGCTATTTTCAGTATTTATATTTCCCCCCTTCTCCAGAAGTGGATTTAGGTACGGATTTCGATTTTGCATAAACGGTGCCGTATTGCAGAGCGCACTCTGCGAAATCCCTACAAAATTTGCGTTTTGACCGGCAATATGACGGTGATTGTGATGACGGTGAAGGGAGGAGCTGGAACTAGTCAACGACTGCTCGACGGTAGCTTTGACGGCGGGGCTCGAGAAGCCCGCTTCCTTCATGACTCGGCTCACGCTGGGGTCGTCGAGAATGGAGATGATGAGCTGCTCGAGCTCGACTTTGACGGCGAGCATCGGCGGCTGCTGCTCGGGGCATCCGCGCCGCTGGTGGGCCTGGGCCCGCTTGAGGGCGGCCATGAGGGCGTTGGAGACGGGCGGCTCCGGCGGAGGCGCCGCCGCCGCCGCGGCGGACGGGAGGCGCTCGAGGGCGACGCTGAAGCAGAGCTCGAGGGCGCGGCACTGGAGCGGGTGGCTGGAGTCGGGGTGGGACCGGATGCAGGCCTGACGGAGGTAACTGGACGGCGAGGCGAGGAGGGCGGCCGCCACGTGGAGGGGCGTCGTGTGGCCGTGGTTGCGGCGGCCGGCCTCCGATATGGACTGGCTGAGGACGGCGGCAGCCTCCGGGGTTAGGGTCTGCTGGATGGTGCTCAGCCCCGCCCTCATGCTTTCTAGAGAGACAAATTTTGCGTTCCTCTCCCTTTCTCTCTCTCTATTTCTTGAAATGCATATGGGATTTAAGCTGCTCTCTCTCTATTTCTTGAAATTAATATGGGATTTAAGCTGTGTTAGTCTTTGGGGGTGTTTTATTTTATGGGTTAGTTTTTTGCAGAGGCGTGAGACTGAATAAAACTCGAGAGAAAAGGGGGATGTGATAAATCAACACAAAAGGGATTTATAGCGTTTTCCTCCATCTCTCTCTAAAAGGAGATGCCAATGTGTGATCAATGAACGTAATAGTAAGTAGTAACTTGAAAATCGATCTTCTCACTCAATTAGACTAAATAGGTCAGAGGTGACTTGAGCTCATCACTACTCGAATTCAAGCTTTAATTGAGTCAATAAGTGAGTTCTAGCTCTGGTCGTTTTTCAATATTAATGAGTTGAGTTTGAGCATTTAACGAGCTATACTCGAGTCTTAACTAGTTAATTTATTGAAATTATATCATTTCTTTCTATTTATGAGATTTAATAAACCAAGTATGGTTATTGCTCTGCTCGTTTACCACACGAGTGAACCTAAACTCAAACTCTGTGTGGTTCTTTTTGTTTAACAGCTTACGAACATTGAACATCAGTAGGATAAGAACATCTATTTTCTTTTGTATGTTGTTTTAGTTCACCTATTTTCCCTCAAATTGCGTGATAAAGAAGAAATTAAATAACCAGAATGAATAAATCATGGGGAAAATGGAGACCAAAAGTTTTCTTTTAGCACCTGCTGGATTTATGAAAAGGCAAACAAAGGTGCCAAACACTTAATAAGCAGAATATGTCAGATAAAGACTATAAAGAGGGCATGTAACGTTTGGTGTATGTTCATTTTCTGTTATTTACTTGTCTCCTTTTCGGTTTATTTATTTATTTGATAAATATCATGTGTGGAAAAGCAAAATTCATGGAAAATAGGGACAAAAAGTGCTTTTAGTTTCGGTGACAAGATTTTTTGCACAGAAAATATGTTTTATTGGTAGTCACCTTACTCGGAGTGTTCTAGAAACGACTAATGCAATATGTACATAATAATGTATATAGAGGTATACATAACATTCACATTGAGCGGGTCCTATCAAAAGTAAAAAATTAAGTGGACCTCACTCCATATGAGTGTTATGTACACTTCTATGTACACTTATTATGTATTTGTAGCATTTTTCTCTTGAAATCGCTCTACGATGCACACATGCCGCTCGACTAGCGTCTATCTCTAGAACGTCAAGGCGGGACCTATAAATTAAAATGAAATATTTATTTTTCATTTATTTTCACTACTTATATAATAAAGTTATCTCAACTTACCTAAGTCTAAATAATAATATTAATATATTATAAACAAAACATGATAACAAAACAATATAATTAGTACTTAAAAAAACTGAAAAATTATTACCGAGCCGGCTTAGGCGCCGCCCAGCCACCGAGCCCGCCTAGGCGCTGCCTGACCGCTTTTATCAGCCGATTGTCTAGGCCGATTTTTAGTACAGTGCCTTATTTCCCAACTTTTATGTGTTGAAATTACATTTTAGCAGTATTATCTTCAGGGTTTTGCTTTATTTAATTCGTCATCTCAAAGTTTTTCAACTCGAACCGGCTTGAAAAATCGACTCGGACTCGATCGACCTGGAACCATAATCGGTCTAGGTGGGTTATTCGGATCGGCAACAACGGACTTGATCGACCCGGCCTTGACCCGGTCAACTCGGGCATCTGCCCAGCAGGGTAAAACCTGATTGACCCGACCCTACATTTATTTTAAATATTTTTCTATTTGAAAATAAAAACTTTGTATGTATATTTACTTTAGCCGAGCTACTCTCTCAGACCGGTGTGTTGACCTATGTTGTAGTAATTTTCTGGAGTAGAATCGAAAAATTCGAACACCATGTCGTGTCTCACGAGGAAGGTTAGCCGGAATATTCTGTACGTTTATTCAAGCACTAATAAAAGAAATAAAGTTCCTAATCAAAGATTGGTTTTGGTTTAATTATCAACTGCTGCGAAAATTCAAATTAAGCAATAAAAAAAACAAGTAACGAAGAACAATTAGGATTTGAGATGCCAGGTAGTCGGGGAGATCCGTTTTGGTTCGAATTGCAATTAAAGGGCAAGCGATTGTTTTAGCTAAGTGATTTGACTAATCGACACGTTCAAGTACTCATTCTCAATAACTTTTCGTAACAAGAGAACAAACTAGAACGTCAAATTAACAATTCATTTAACTCCTAGGCAATACAGTTACGAATAAGCGTAGTTCATACGAGCCTATTTTGACCGACTCCTCCCCTTTCGGTTCTAAGAGTCGATTAAAGTAGACTAGAGGGTGGTTAACCGACTAATCAAATAGATTCCTAATTTCAAGCACGAATAAGTCAAATTCAATTGAAACGATTGTATGTTGAAGTGTCACCCTTCAACAATTATCAATACTCAAGTCTGACAGTTGAAAAACCCTAATAAAAGATTAACTCGCACAAATTGAACAATCTTGAGCCCGACAATCACAAACGATTCCAAAACATCAATCCCCTATCCCTAGCATAAAGATATAGCCACTCATATTTGAATTGTCAACACAAACCACCATAATCAAAGTCAACATATCCATGGATTAGATGTATAGAAAAACTTACGAATAATGGTAATTGAATGATGAATCCGATAAACAAGATTAATCCGAAAGCAGTAGCAAAATCCGAGTTCAAATTCTTGTTCTATGATGAAAAATATGAAGAAAAGTGAAAAGAACGAGAGAATGAAAGATGGGGTAGGGTTTGGTGTTTTCTGGGCGTGAGAAAAGATAATCTATCGAAGTTCCCGATCTTAAATATATATAGTCGCACGTTGGCACAGCGTGGAAGGCTTAGGTGCAGCATGGCAGGTGGGCGCGGCGCGGCAGGGGAGGTCATCGCGGCGCGGGGCGGTCTCGCTGCGCGGCAGGCTCTCTCTTCACGGCGCGGAGCAGCACGCGGCGCGCAGGAGTGAACGCTGGAGTCTCAGTCTACCTCGTGGCACAGGCATGGCGCGGCACTGGCGCGGCGTGGAGGCTGGGACGGCGCAGGCCTGGGCATCTCGTGGTCCATATCACACGGCTTTACGTTTTGTGCTCGTATACGCTCTTCTGAACTCGAAATCTGATTCCGTTTTCTCCTGTGTGATGCACACAAACTCCTCTATTTTATCATGCTTGCCTAACTAATATTTTTCTGAAATCATGTTCTCCCGAGACTTCCAACCTACACACCAACGACGACGAAAACAAACAGAAAACGACCAAAAAAACACAAGAATGACCAAGAAGAGAGCAAACCCGAAATAAACTATAAAATGAACTAAAACTCATCTAAACGACCTAAAATGGGGGAAAAAGAAAGACAAAAAGATAACAAAAAACGCAACAAAAATGGGACAAACAACTCCCCCACACTAAGACTTTTGTTCGTCCCGAACAAAAAGAAAAGAAAAGACACTAAAATAAACGAAAACAAGCAAACGAGCTTGGATAACAGTTTCAAATAAGACAAGTCTCAAATTAATCAACTTAGCCGAGGAGACTTCCAATGACCAATATACCACACCTCAATTACAACTCGAATGCAGCGCCTTGAAAAGACAAACTCTCAAGCACGGAAGTATAATACATATATGCCTCACTCAGTTTCTTGCATAAATATGAAGTGGATTCGCTCAAATTGGTCGATCATCATGCATCACATAAGCTTGCTTATCGTCTATTCATACTCTAAAACAATAAAAAATCATGAAGTGTAAATCAAGAGGACTTCTGGGGTTGCAATAAAGGCAAGTTGCACAAGGGAAAGACAAAATGAAGATTAAGCGGCTCAAATAAACAATCAATTTCTCGAGCATATAAACTACTCGAATGCTCCACCAACTATCCAAAATCAACATGAAACCAATCATTCCCATCAAAACTCCATGCAACACTCATAAATGCTCAAGATGAAATGCAAATTAAGTACTCGACTTTTTTTTTTTTTAAGGGAGTATGCTTTTTCCTAACAAAACTGAGACGTAAGGACGACATTCTCTAGGTTTAAACATTGGAGGTCATCCAAGTTTCCTAGAGTGGTTTCCCAATACTCATTACTCGTGAAAAATTCCACAAGTAAGCGGAGTAGAATCCTTTTAGTCCGTCTTGCGAGTTCCTTTTTTTTTTTTTAGTACTCAAAATGCAATTCAACAAGTTCTCAACCTTCTCCAAGCACATATAAGAAAACTCCGTCATCATATCAAGTATAGTGTCAAATCTCAATTAATTCTTTCGAATCGGTTGACAAGAAATACGGTCCAAGGCTCAACGGGCTATTAGTGAAAATATAAGTTCAAGGGTCAATGAAAAAGGCTAAAACAAGCTATGTCAAAGAAATGCCTCAATCATCTTCACAAATCACTATTTCAATCACTTCATTTCAAAATAGACTCAAGGCAAGTTCTGATCAAAACGAATCCGACCAATATCTCTCATAAACAAACAAGGCTCAAACCTCACATAAGGTACATAAATGTCCAACAAAACGACACATCAAGTTCATCAAAAGTATACTAGTCATGATCATCATCACATCTCCTCAACATCATCAACAATTATCAACAAATCTTAAAGTCCACCAAAATCCATACTCGCAAAACACACAAACTGAATCCAGAAAAGACACTAAAATAAAACAGAAAATGAAAACAACCTAAAAAACCTAGACCTGGTCAACCATATAGACACATAATCATGTAAAAACTCCCCCACACTTAAAACCGAACAATGTCCCCATTGTCGATCATTAGTGCTAGGAAAGTTTGCCCACATAATCAACCAACATAAAAGACAGAAAAAACTAAAACAAAAACAAAAATAAAGAGAAAGGAAAAGATACAAACGTACAGAGCACAGTGACTAGACTAGTCACTGTGAATCCGGTGGTGCAGGTAGA